AAACTTTATAATTATTTCCCATCTAGTTGCACCCCTTTCCCTTTTAGCGTAGATTTAATCGGAGAATCGGGACAATGGTCAGTCAAGTCAGGAGCATGGTCCATCGTGCGGTGCACCTAATGTTAGCAGTGTGTGTTCTGCTCAGTGTCGTCGCCACCACACACTCACATCCAGTAAAAGGAGAGCCGCTGTTGTTTGATGCTGGAGTCCGCCCTCATGAATACGATTATGAAGAGCTCTTCGATACGTATCCCGAGTTACGTAGCGTTGCCCGGATGTACAAACGTGGCCAGTATTTCACACAGCGTCTGGGAAGATAGACTGAATGTATTCGGTATTATTCGCACAGCATGTATTCCATTGCCAGAAATTAAACTTGCAATCTAATAATATATCATTCACCATTTGAGTTCTGCTTTTAGCACCGCAGGAAAGGAGTACACAGTCCTACCTGCACTGGTAGGGTCTCCCATAAGAGGGAATTGATTTCGGACACACTCAATATAGCAGAGTTAGAAGCGTTCAATGCTTTTTCGATGACCAGCTAACTGGGCGCCTAGTTATTGCATGGCATTTTCTGATGCGTAAGACCTGAGAGAGTGATAAACAATGATAGAAAGCAAAAACCTAAGAAACGGATTGTCTGGATTTCACAGTGGAGCGAAACAATGCTTATCTTAAGCAGTCCGTTTTCTGAAGGGCGAATTTAACGCATATGAGCCTCTATAGTCTTACCTGAGGACACCTTAAGTACTGTCAGAATAGCCGAAGTAGTAAACATTATGAAGTAGCTTCACAAATTTAGCGTTTGCCGCTTTCTCAACTCACTCAGAACTCTATGCTTGTAAATGCTCAGAGGGAGCAAGAGTCGTTGAAAGTCGTTGAAGTGATGAAAAGAACTGGTCACGAATAGTGCAGTGCATTGCGAAATGTTTGCCCACTAGATGAAAATTTCGGGTGACAAAGGATATATCAGTAGGGATTCAGCTATGTACTCTAAAACGGCAACATATCAATATAAAAAACCGAGAGGTAACTTCGAGCTATTACGAGATCAGAAGCATTTCCTGTAACGTTGAAAAATGAAGTTAGATGAAGCGTCGTGAGTCAATCATAGACTTTCTGAGGGGACTTGGCAAATTCAACAGCTGCGCTATTCCGACGAGGATGATCTGTGCACTAACTGTGACAACCGATTATTGTGATGCCAGATACTATCAATAGGATGCAATCTATCCAAACATTGACGCCCCCGAACGGTTTCGCGCTGATGGAGCTACTTGTATGGCCATAAACCACTAAGTTAAAGAAGTGACCCCATGGTTCGCTTGAGGGGAGAAACACGGTGCAGAATAAATTCCTCAAGCTACAGACAAAGCGTAGTTTATATTTTTTGTTAGTTGTGACGTGTTCAAATGAAGACCGCCTGGGATTAGGGTAAATGTAACGAACTGATTCTTGGTCAACCACGACCAGGGGGAAATAATTCGTAAGTGGGTAAACTTGACCGGATTCACGGTCGTCAATATTAGCGTTATTTACAAGTGATCTCCCATGTAGCCCCCAGCAAAAGCTAAAAGCTCAAGTCGACAAAGATTACTTCCACTCTGACAGAAAAATTCAAAACAACCGGTTGTAGCTGATCGTATACTCGGATACCGAAGAGGCTTTATTCACACCATAGAATAACACCGCAATGCGTAGGTAGTGTAACCCCGTACACAGTAGCAGCTTCAAAGGCTTGTAAGAGAAGATGGGGACAGAAGGAGATACAGGTTTCTGCAACTGGATAACTTAGTTACTGAAATGAAGCAGTCGGAATCGCTGCAGTGTGAAGAGCGCAGGATTCGTGGCGTCGGCCGTGGGTTGTGCCGGGGATGACCGACGTAAGTAGGTCACAACTGATCCCTGTTTGACGGTTAGTACCATGCGCCAGAACCCCAGGGAGGCCATTGGGAAATAGCAGTAGCTATGGAGCATTAGGTGTAACGGGTCACAATGTCGGAAACGAGCGACACGACCTTCACCATTTCTATTCCGGAACAGGGATGCCGTAAATTTTTCCCATGCGCGCGACTAGGACTCTAGTCGCTGGCGCTTCCAAACCCCAAAATGAGACGGAGTGCTTCAGTTAGCCGGAACAAGTGAATACAGCGTCGTACAGCTTCAAGTATGTAGAGAAATTGCGACATATGTGGCACTTTTAAATATTACAGTCTGCACAGTCGAACGCTGAGACAGCGAACGCCGTAGCAGATATGAGTACCCATAGAGGCACTGCGAGTTCACACAGCAAAACATGTAAGTTCACAATTAGAAGAGCAGTTACGTCAAAAAGGTGAATAAACGGGGGCGCTGCTCACTAAGACTTATAGCGTCAGATGTGAACGTACGTTGCTCATAACCGTAGCATACAGGACGCGGCACAGCTGCTTCAGTTTGTCGAAGTTACCACAGTAAAGCTACTGAACTCCAAATTTTGAGAATCGATAGCGCTTTTATTCAAGCTCACCTTATCATGTTGAAGCTGGCGGCTGCACGCTCTTTCGCAGAGTGCATATAATGGATAAACGACCATCTCTCACCCTGGCCTCACCAATGGAATTGTGTGTTTATCACCTTTACAATGTACCCATGTGGGCAACTACTTCCCAAATTCTATGCAAGCAGACTACGTGCTTGAGCGATATAGATGTAGCCTTTTTCTCTGAAAGGTAGCCCTTACCAACTTCGTTCATTTTGAGACATTAACTCGTGGTAAATGCAAGTTGGAATGATTCACGATAGAAAAGGAGCCAACATAGCGTGCGCATGTATTAAAGGACCTTCGGACAAACGGTATTTCTGGAGACAATAGTTCAATAGTGTATGATGGGATAAAAAGCATAACTTTACAAGAGCAAAGGATGGATATGCAAAATGAAATTAAAATCAAAATGTTCCAACTTGGAACGTGAAATAACAGTGGTTAAACCATTACACTTTATCAAACTTTGTGTAGCGTTTATCACTAAAAATCTAAGAGTCTTCCGAATATCGTCATGTCTGGTACGTTCACCACATATCTTGGTAATGCATTCCAATGAGAACAGATTCTAAGTGAGTAAAAATACTTTCTACAATTCAGACGGGAGAGTTGCGTCATTAGTTTCAAGTGGTTGCCTCGGTTTTGTTTCTAAGGGGCTAGAGTCAACAGTAATGTACATGGATGCTCACTTTCAGTTAGTATCCGGCATGTGAGAGTAAGATCTCCGCGAAGCCGTCGGTATTCTAATGAGAACACACTGATTACACGAAAACGCCGTTCGTAACTTAGACCGGATAGTCCACGCGTTGTCTTTGTAGCTCTTCTTTGGGGTTGTTCCAATAGAAGAATGTCTCGTTTTAACCATAGACGCCAGGTCTGAATTGCGTATTCAAGGTGAGGGAGAATATAGGAGTTAATCAACAATGATACGAACCGCTGCTCAAAAGTGCCGAGAGTTCAATTTCGCTACGCTCGCTGCTTTCGAACATTGGAGCGAATTTCCAAGACTCTCTTGCACGATTATACCTAGGTAGAGTTCACTAGGCACGTGTTGCATGACGTGTTGCCCCAAAAGGTATGTGTTAACGAAGCTGTTGTGCACCGTCAGCAGGTGGCACTTTTCAGGGTTCAGTGGGAGCTGGTTCTTTTCTGCCCATTCCTTAATCCGGGTCAGATCTTCCTGGAGGTAGACACGATCGGATGCTGAGCGAATTGCTCTCCATATTTTAGCATCATCTGCAAATATTTGCATCGGAGATAGATTGTCTGCTGGAAACTCATTAATGTAGACTAAAAACAGGAGCGGGCTGAGGACGGATCCTTGTGGTACACCACTGGAGACGCACAGGCTTGCAGAGTGAGTGTCGGCTACTCTTATCTTGACTGTTCTGTCGTGTAAGTAGTTTCTAATCAGGTGAGCAGGGAACCGTTGATACCGTATGCAGCAAGCTTTCGGAGGAGAAAAAAGTGAGTGAGCTTGTAGAATGCTTTAGAAAAATCCAAGTAAATCACAAACGTTTCAGTTTCAGGGTGTGAAAAACTTCGCTCAAGGTGAAGGCGAAGTGTTCGTGCTCATGACAATGTTTGATCAGCGAGCCTGCATACTAGCATTTCCCCTGGTGGTCCATCTTTATTTACTATAATGAGCTGAATGTCACCTCCGTATCCATAGATGTCGGACGGTGGAAACCACAGCGGACAGGATCATGGTAACACAATTATCACGTAGCATGAATGCTAAACACGCATCATATGGGTTGGAGAATAATTGCATTTGTGCCATCCCCGCGTGCTCGCATAAGGCTCATTCTCCTCAAGGCATATCGTTGTTTCGTGGTCGTGTCAAGTGCAACATTCAGTGTGGTCCAGCCAAAGCTAGCGCATAGCATGCCGTAGACGCCTATTTATCCATGTTTGGGAAGCTCTAGGTTGAACTTACAATCGGCAAATATGATGCTGTGTGCCGAACATGCTGGCAAGTTGGTGAGCCTGAACAGAGACGCAGCACAACCCACTGTCAAGACTGATAATGCACAATGGCATTCAATAGGACAGCGGACAATCCAACCTAGGGTTTCCACGCGCCAACGAATTGCCAGGAATTCGCACAATGGTTGTCCACTAGTACAGATATTTAACTGAGCAGTTCCGTGGGATGCCAACAGGTTACGTGCGTGTGTCAAAACTACATTATTTTGTACTCAGGAAGTTCGGACACAGATGAAGTTCGTGGTGGTGTGAAAGGTTGTGGAAGAGCACGGTTTACCTATAAGTAACTTAATATCAAAGTCGACATCTCTCGTTGCAATGCCAAAACCAGGCGGATAATCTGGACTCCAATTTGTCGGGCACAAAAATTAGGCGCGGTTCAGTGACGTCAGTCGTAGTCCGACAGTGTGGGGGAGATGTGAGTCCTCATGCTTTAGCAACATGACATCGCTCAGTAATCGACAACCCAGAATATTAATAGTGGTCAAATGTCCTCGAAGAATCCCAGATCGATTTGTCGCACTATTTTCGCAACTGCATAAAAGTTCAAACGAAGTGTCCGTTGTTCGTTTCTAATTCGGCTGGAAACGACAGGCAGTAGCTGAAGAGAAAATGAAAGCACAGAGAAAAATGTACAACGGTATTGGGAACATATCAAGTCGCCGGTTGAATGAAGTAATAGTGGGTGTTTAACTAACCTTATGTGACGCAATCCAGATCCGCACAAGCTGATAAAAGAATGTTCTTGCCGCAAATGTGGTGGATTGTACGATTTTGGACAATAGTCGATTTGCAGTTCGGGGTACTGTCAAGAATAAACGTTAACCGTAGTAAGTTGGCGCATACCTAGACAGCAGAAGGAAAACTTGTAAGAAGTGTAGTATCCTCAAGAAATAACTCGGAGCGGGTTACAGCATAAGAAGCGCAGTTGGGTGTGCGTACGCGCGCATAGAAAATCAATAGGTTTTGAACCAGCGTCATTGATCATTCATCAACACGTGACAGGTACCCAGAACGGCTTTCATAATTCGGAGCTTGAAAAGTACGACAAGAAGGTGACGGTTGATAGATGCAAGCATTTCGTATTGTCTCTTCAGTACCAAAAACAAAAACCGATGAGAAACAGAGTTTGCTGCTCACCTATTGGTGATAGGGTCAGTGAGCTTGGTAAAGGTAGGATGGTAGGTTGAAGTGGAGGACTGTACAAGTTGGATTCTAGCAATAGCCTCAAAGTGTTAGCACTGATCTGAAAGTCGAAGTTGATAAAAATTTCCAACTATCCACACAGAAAGCTGCATAAACTTTCAGCATTTACTGTCTCTAATGTCCTTGATGTCTTGCGACGATAGCACGAAGATGACGATATAGTTGACAGGTCTCCGGTACTCACCAGTTATAAATAAAAACGCCATAAAGCTAAACAACAGGAGGACTACCAGTGGGTTTCAATGCTCAATCTGACGTCCCAGTACAGACAAGGAAAATAGGTGATTGTCTAATTTTTGCAGAACTCCATCACTATTACTATCGATTAATCCCTATTTAATGCTAAGGTGTATCTGATCTATCTCACAATCCATAGGCAGATGAGTAAATTACTTATGATTTTGGGTGCCGTTACTTTGAAGTCATGTGCATTCCGTGGCAAGTTGATAGCTCGTTCCGCTCAAAGCAAACAGTAGTCACTAGCGCGAAACCTTCCGAGAAAAGAATGATAACAATCCTAATGGCAACGGGTCGAACTGAACCTTTGATTTGTTTACCAAGCTGGGAAAATCCCCTGATGAGGTCTCGTTGCCAATCGGGGTGACATCTCCAGTGCGGAGTATAGCAGTTGTACTAGCTACGTTGGTGAGCAAAGAGGTACGAAAAAATACAGAAGTGAACTCTCGCACCTCACACAAACCGATGAATGGCGGTGGTGAGCAAAATGATGAGACTAGCAGCTTGGCTGTGAAGACAAGAGGAGATGGCATTGTGAAGTCAGTTGTGTCCTCCCGTCGCCGGTAGAGAACAACTGTGCTGGCTCTAATCTCACTACTAAAGGTGTAGGACAGGTGAGTGATGTAAAGCACACGGTCATCATGTAATATTAGACCTTGAAAATAGCCTTGAAAGGGACCGATGAAATTGTGACCAAACAGCACCTAGCAGAATCAAACACACCGTTCTTAAATTATTTGACTGTTGAAAAGATGCGTCTCTCTCGTGTAAATACGCACGGACGCTACAAAGCGCACTGTTTCATCAAGAGTAGTTGTTTAGTCGCCCGTCTGCCGCATAAGTCGGAGTTTAGTGCTCCAGCCAGTCCCCCGGTAACGCGACGATCCTCATTAAAACAGAATGAAATGCACAACCCTATTCCCACGAATGCACTTTCACAATCATCATCTCACTTAATCTGCATTGAACAAGTCATGAACAGCGTCTTAAGAAGAAGATTATACCGGGACTCCAATGTATCTTTCCGACTTGGAATGCCAGTGGACCGGTGCACTGTCATTTCGATTTAAGTCTAGTGCAAATTTGTTCTGATATCTGAATGGTTGATGCCTCAGATGAATTATTGTTCACTCGCCTCGTAGCGCATTTATTTAATTTGCACACAGACGACCAAATCACATTAGCGCTGTCTATGTGTGCGCCTTTCAAAATGTACACATAAACGTTCGATTACGATGGCCCAGATCGTTAGAGTAGCAGTGGATAGAATGCTTGCCAAACCCTCAGAAACGAACAAGATAAAGCAGCGGCCGAATGAAACCGGAGTTACACGGAGACACATCAAGAAAACCGAGAGCAAAACCAATTGTAAACGGGCTTAGAATTAATGACACTCATTAGCTAGAGTGTAAAAAGCCAGACACAGCAAGAAAACCGAGAGCAAAACCAATTGTAAACGGGCTTAGAATTAATAAAACTCATTAGCTGGTGTGTAAAAAGCAAGAAAACAAGACAAGAGACACATTTGATTATTGGGTCTCGAAATATCTGCCATGTGGCTTGATTGCACCACACATTTTCAGTTAACGCCACAGTTTGCTTTGAAGCAAACTTCCCAGCTCAGACTATCACTACCTAAGGAGCCCAAATCAGGACGAAACCGGTCGGTCGTGAAGTGCCTAGTTGAGAAAGAGCAGCTCCGGAGCTCTTCAAGTGATACGGTTGTCGTGATATACTTAAACAGGATAGGCCGATTTGAACCATTTGCAATGGTGGTTTGCAGAATGGGGCTCTAGACCACTAGAAAATGGTTCCGTAATATACGGATACTTCATTCCGAAGGTTAGCTGCCGAATGATCTCCAACATTAGGGTACGGGCTAAGGATATCGCGAGTTCGCCCGCACATAGGCAAGCTAGAAATGTCTACCTGTGGATCACAAGCCAGACGCCTTTACCACTCAGCCACTAGCCAATCATTAAAGTTGAAGGGACAACTCCATTAAGGGGGAATAAAAGACCCGAACAAGCGAGGGGCTTCGATGTTGCTATGTGTCCAAGTTTGAAGACCCCAACCAATTTGCTGCCCAATAAACGATCCGAGTAAAGTTCAGCTCAACTGGAACCACTTCAGTAACGAAGGCTGAACTCTCCGTCACCCCCAAAGAGGTAAAGTAAAACCCTTGACCAAGGCTGTGCTACTTGTAAGGCTACGGAGTTGTGCGAAGGACCCAGCCTTGGGTGCCATGAATAAAACAGTAAGTCACAGCGTTCACCATATTTGCTGCAGAGGGAAATGCATAAGAAATACGAGGCCAAATGAAATGTTGACCAACCGCCTGTGGGTTTTCACAATTAAAGGTAGAAATCCATTCCGCTTGACTGGCGGTCGTTAGCTGCACCGAACATCTCAAACTGAATACCCCTTGAAGGACGAATGGATCACATTTGTTGTTATGAAATCCGTACACAAATGGCCGCCAGTTCTACATGAGGTACACGGATCGCAACTTTCCTAACGCTAGAATTTTGACTGCTGCCTCCAGTAGGTGCTTAGCACACAAACGGTTTTGTCCAAAGCGAAAATTGGTAATCGTTGGATGCACATCGTAGTAAGGTACCGCGATTTGTATGTCTCCATTGGTGGAACCAGTTAGCGGAAACGGAAGCTCCAAGAAAACGACTTTGTTCACCCTAAATGCACCTCATTGCTTGAGATTCCATAACAAGAACTGGGTCATGAATCTCGAACTCCAACACCAACCATAGCCAATGAAACCCAGTAATCAGGGAAAAATTTAGCACCAAACGTATTTTGTCTGCCCAACGAGCAGTGATCAGACGTGAAAACTCACTAATCAATACATTACAGTATGGTTCGCTGCGCGACATAATACATTATGATGATTGTACGTGCTCGGAGGGGTACTTCGAGTGGATGGATGAACAGCAAAAAGAAGTGGAACGTGAGATATCAAGCGTGGTAATGATATTGGAAAAAAACATAGAGCATAAGTTAGCAGCGACTCGCTACCATCTTAGTCTAAAGACTAACTACTTGCGAAAAATCCAACAGCAATTTAACAGTAAGATTTGCCCAATCGTTGGGAATTTAATTCTATGGATCAATATTGGGGCGCGTCTTTTATGCTCAGCAGATCATTTGGGGTGACAAAGTATACGCAAAAACTTCGATTATCTAGACGCATATTACCTGCGGTGCTTTCGTAAGGGTACTAAGTCCCAAAAATATCTATCAGATATTTCAAAGCCACAGAAGGAGCGATCAACACCATCCGAACGAAAGGATCAAGTTGTGTGGAATGACCTCAAGACGTACACCGACTGTTCGTAAGTCAGAATGCCGGATGGACCACGTTAACTATCTTGGAGGTATACCCAAGGAAGGCCGGGGAAAGTCATCTCTTCCGCTTAGCTGTTAACAACATGCATGGGCGACAGACGGTTACGGTAGAATTTTCCCATCAAACTGGTTGTGTAACAAGATATAGGTTCACTTGCTTAGAAACCAAGGGTTAATAGCAAGCTGTTGCGACGTCAGAGTTAGCGAGAGAACGATTCCCTGTGAAACAATGAAACGTCGGCTGAGATGAGGGCAGTTGGCTAAAAAGCATCTATAAGCAAATGAATTATGGGAATTTTACCTGGCAGAAAGTAAAGTTGTGCACTAGCCGAATCTATGCCGGACAGATGAAAGATATCAGCGATTTGCTTCCTCCGAATCGTAATTAAGCGTAGCATATATATCCTATAGTTAATAAATGCATAACAAATTGTATAAAACGCGCGAGAAGGAGAGGAAATTGCAGACAAAGGTAAAGATGTGTGTTGCAGTTCAGCCGCACATTACTCATCGCGGCCATGGGTTAGTGGCCACAGTTGCTGAGTTCATGTTACTGCAAAACATGGTAAGTAGTATATGACTACTTGAAATTTTAGGGTAGGAATTGGCGGTTACTTCTCCCCGACCAGAAACATAGCGTCTGGGAAGTGCTTTCCAGGAAGGATTTGGGCAAAGTAAAAGTCACAAAACGATGTGTTCCGCCTCCACTTAGGCTAGAAATCTAATCTATAGGGGGCAAAAGTTTGATAATTCTAATCGCACAACTAGTGAAATCGGCAAGAAGGAAATCGACAGAGAATGGGAAATGAGCAAATTTGTGGTGGTGTTTCACATGGACGAATCATGGCCCTGCTACATAAGGTACCTAGCAAACCGTACATCCTCCATTAATTCAAGTCCTGCTGGGTTTAGCACAACATATTCCACCGAATCGATCTGTAATCTTTGAAATATGTACGAACACATTGGCTGTTATTCCCCGTTTAAGCGATGGGAAGCGAAAATGCCCATTATGACGGAAATAAAGTATACGCCTAACGGATCCCGAAGGTTGGTCAGGAAGAAATATGCTAAAAAATTAAGGTAATACACACAAACAAACCAAAAAGAAGATTCGTGGGGCAATGGAAAAAGTGGTATAACGGAAAAAGCAGTTCCTTACCACGTTCCGTAGGATGGCCAAAACAAGAAACACAATGTGGCGAATAGAAAAAAGAATGATAAAATGTAAATCGTTTTGGTGGACTCATCACAATATTCACACGAACGCAGGGAGAAAAGAGCCAATCTCGATTGCACAGGTTACTCCTGGTTGTGCAACGTTCCTCACGTTATATCGTCTGTCGAGTTAAATAGCCTGTAGCTCTTAATGTGGGTAGATTAGAGCAATGTCAAGGCGCTTTAGAAATACCTATTAAGTGGGAGTGAATACAACGTAATTAGAGAAGACGTTTCATGTCTGGCACACACGAAGAGAGTAAAATTTCGCCGACATTCCAGCCGACTGTACTGTGTGGCCAACTTCAGCCGATGGCACCTCCAATTCGTGTTGTGACTGAGTAGATGACGGCAGATGTGGTTGAGATCCCTCAAATCTGGTAGGCCATTATTAGATCTCCACCTGGGCGCCAATACTGACCGCTGTGTAATCCCATAGTCCTTAGTCTAAGTTGATAAGGAAGATGAAACAACCGTTTGATGTGCTTTGTGGCTCCTCGCTGTGCAGTCTCGAGTGCTGCGAGATGTTTCATGTGCCATGGCTGCCAGACCTTGATTTCGTATTCTACTGAGGCCGTATGTACATTTTAAGCAACTGTGAAGAGAGAGAGGGATCAAGTCGCCCAAATGTCTTATGTAGTGTGTCAACGTATTGGTTTGCAGTCTTGGACGCCTTCTCAGATTGTTCTAATCAGACCAGATCAGTCTGGATTAGTATTCTAAGGTCGCGCTTCTGTGTGACTGCTTGCAGGACATGGTCCCCTTGCGCGCATAGGATGTTCGGCTGGTGACGAATGTGGACCACCTTACACATAGCCGAAGTAGACGGGAGCAGATTGTGGAAGGACCGTTCATACATCATGTCCAGTTCTCGTTAAGTGCATCGTGATCTGTTTGTTCGGCGATCGGCCATCACATCTTAATATCGACAGCGAAAAACAAGAAATTTAAA